CTCATCATCGACCACGAAGAAAAAATCTTGCTGTATACGACGAGAACATTCTGAACGAAGTCCTATCCAAACGTGACTGGCAGATTAAAGAATATCCGATCGAAAACTACAAGCTGCTTGTCGAAAGCTTGAAAAGGTGTGCCAAATTCGTTTCATTTCCTCAATCGAGAAGATCGGATCGCTTCTCCACCACTACTAAGGAGTTGCTCGAAAAGGGAAGGACACTGAAACTTGATCCTACTGCAATGCGTTTAACATGGCCAGTAATAAATGTCAGCGGCGGAAGAGCTTTGCAGGAAGATCTACATCGGTCTAGGCAAAAGAAAGTACTGGAAGCAGCAGAAAAAAAGCAGTCTAAAAAAATGCCGTCGGGACTTGCTTGATTATAATGTTCCGCTGTCAGCCCTTATGAGCGAAGATGTAATCGTTAAAACTTTCCGCCATGATATGAAATTAATAGCGGAAACGCTCTACACCCACCTTTTCTGATCCACATTCCCTCTCCCGGGCTATTCCCGCTGGAGAAAAACTACCTGGAATTCTTCTGTCGCAGGTTCGAGTTGCGATAGAAAGCATGAAAAGAGGCACAGCTCCAGGACCTGATAATATCACTGCCGACTTCCTTAGAGCTGGAGGCCACAATTTACATTTACTTCTCACAGATCATATGACAGATTACCTTCAAAAGGAAAAAAATCCCAGACCAGTGGAGGAAGTCGCGCACGGTCATCCTGCTTAAAAAAGAAGACCGAAGGGATCTTCGTAACTATCGTCGCATATACTTGTTAAGTGTACTCTATAAGCTCTTCACGAAGATCATCCTTTCGCGCATATCAAGGACGTTGGATAAGGCGTAACCAGTCGAGCAAGCAGGATTTCGAAAAGGATTCTGATGCCTGGATCACATCCAAACCGTGTCCAGGGTCATCGAAATTTGACGGGGATACCACTTGTCCCTAGTCCTAAGCTTTGTCGACTATAAAAAAGCGTTTGACAGAGTCGAAACGAATGCAATTCTATCAGCGTTCGTCGACCAAGGAGTGGACCCGTCCTACACAAGAGCTCTGTCCGACTGTGGTCGGAACTGCACTACGAAAACGCAGCTATTCCATCGCCCTCTTACAATACCCATAGGAAAAGGGGTTCGACAGGGCGACACAGCTGGTTAGTGCCGCATTACAATGGATAATGAAGTCATTCGATTAGGATGAGAAAGGCATACGTATTGATGGAAAATCTCTAATATCAAACCTACGTCTTGCCGGCGACATTGTCATCTTCGCAAAAAGTACTAGCGAAGCAGAGATGATGACCAACAAGCTCAGCGAAGTGGGGAAAAAGATTGGACTTCGTATAAATCGAAAGAAGACCCAGTTCGTGAAAAACCCATGATGCGAAGGCGAAAAGATTGAATTGGATGGCTCTCTCATTGCAGAGACCACCTCGTACGTATATACCTTAGACGATCAATGAACATGGAAAAGAACATGAAGGAGGAGTTAGATAGAAGAAGGAGAGCAGCTTAGGCCGCATTCGGGCCTCTCAAGGAAGCCACCGACCAACTGAAGAAACCGAAAATCCGCGCTTGTCTCTTTGATTCTAAGGTCGCCTCAGCGCTTTGTTATGCTTCAGAGATGTGGATTGATACTTCCACCACGTCAATGATGCTTCGAACTACTCACAGAACGCTTGAGCGATTTTTTCTGAAACATAACCGGCACTCAATATGTAGCCGGGATGCGAAGCTCTGTCCTTCGAAATCTGTGAAATCTTCGAGGTTCAGGAGAATATACATCGACAGCGAAACATAGATGGGCCGGTCACACAATGAGAAGAGCAGACGACTGATGGACGAAAAGAACAGGAGAATAGACTCCAAGAAAATGCAAAGTTCCCCCAGGACGACCATCTACACCTTGGGCGGGCGTGTTCGTAAACGAAGTTAATCAGCTGTACCCGCAGCTGCAGTCATCTTATAGATCACGGTATGAGACTCGCAAGTGCTACCATGCTCAAACAAGGCCACCACCATAGACTGCCATTGCGAGAGAAAGTAAAGAATCGCATATGTACTAAGGTTCACACAGCTCGTAAGGACAGACGTCTTCGTTTTTAATAAGTGTTCTGCTATGCTAGCATATTGAGGGATAACTTCGATTATCACCTCAAGGATGGCTCTTCTTTATACTTGCACACCGGTGTAGAGTTTTTCAGAGTATCCGAGCTTGGAAGCGGTTCAATGAGGCGATGCCTTTGCGATGTTTTGAGTTTTTTGGCTGGCAATATATCAAGCTTGCAATCATAAACAAAATGACGCAGTGTTGTTTCCGTGTGATCGTCAAGTCTACAATCATAAATTACTGAAAATTGTTAGAGGTGTTGGAAAAAACGCTACATAAACTACAACTGAGAAAAAAGCCATCAACACAAGAAATAGATATTTTCTACAAAAATACTTAGTACTTAAATGCGGTCACTTTTTATTTACTACCTATTTTTTTCATGGCAAGGCATAATAAATGTGCTCCAATGATGTTGAGATACAACCACAAAGGTGGTGAGATGTTTGCAAAACTCCGGACCGTAAGTGTCAGCTGTGCGAACGGAAGCGCTATTACCCTTTCTGGAGGCTTCACCACTTCACGATCCGGGTTTATCGTTTCGCGTGTCTCCCAGCTAGGTCTATCGATCACTGCCGTCAGCAGTCACCCAACGGGATTGACCTGGTCAGCCCAAATCAGCATTGAACCCAGTTAGGGTGAGGCTTCAGTTGAAATCACAATATTGAGTTTTTATTTGCTGCCTACTACAATTTTTTATGCCAGGGTATCATGCGAAATACAGCCATAATTGTCCTGAGATATTTGCAAAATGGTAGTGATGGCACTGATGGGTAGAACTAGTTGAGAGACAGGCGAGACAGATGAGCCGCATGGAGTGGTGGTGAACGCGTTAGCTTCCGGGAAGGGTAATAGCTCGTTCAGTCAACTCCGCAGAACACCTAGAGTCATCAGTTTTGTAAATACCGTAGCGTAATTGTAGTTACATATTTAGAATTCAAACAGAAGCAGATGACTTTTGCTTTTAAATTCATCCATGAAAAGGACGGAAATTATCTCTTATATTTCAAAGTGTGTTAAAAGCTGGAGTTAATGAGCATAATATAGAATATGTAACTCTAAGAAAGCACTTGAAGCAAATTCTGAGCAGTTATTTAAGCCTTTGATTCAGTCAGTGTTGCGAAATATTTCTAAATCGAGAAATGATTTGTTAAGGAAAACACGAGAAATGTCAGCAGTATTTTCCCAAGTTAAAAGGATCGTCTGAAAACTATGGACCTTATAAAGTCACTTTTGTGGAAACCAAGTCCGATCCGTTCGAGTCGGTCAAGCACACAGTGTTAAAAGTAGAATCAAAGTAAGTTTGAGACACTGTAATGAATCCTAGTCAGCGCAAATCGCTGAGAACATTCAACCGAACATTGGTGAAGTCGTCATATTTTAATCCACCAATAATGCTCATAAAAGACATGTTCGAAGTTCAAAGAATCGTTGACTCTTTTTTAATATCAAAAAGAAGAAGCGAGGACCGAGAATCTCACTCGAGTCACCTATACTATTTGACATTTCTACCTACTGTGCCGAAGAATCGAATTGTGCTTCGATATATGGAAGATGGACTCAGAGAATGGGATTTCTTTCTGCTGTGTTAGAACGACTTCTTCTTTTCTTCAGACGTCTTTTCATATTTCTGCATTCATGCATGGGACTGTTGCGTTTATGCAAGTTGTATGTTATGCGTCCGTTTCGCCAAAGACGTGCACTTAAGTACTTGAGATGCACAAACATTGGAGCGACTCTATCATATAGACCTCATAACCACCCTAAAGAGTGCATGAGCAAAGCGAGAGAAACTCACACAAGATCCGGTTGACCCATGGTTGCTTTGTTGCAAAAAATTATTGCGCTTACATGGGTGGTGCTATGAGCTTCGTTTGTTAAGCCTGTTGAGGTCACAGAGCAGGATTGAAGTATGGTAGAAAGGTATGCTGAAGTTGCTGAAAATACCGATATTAGTTAATTTTAGTCAGATTAATGTTATTTTGTACATAATTAAGCGAGATTACAAATATGATAAGAGAAAAGTAAAGAACACTAAAATTCTTCAAAGATGGCATGAACGTCGTATGAAGAAAAAGCAGTCAAATGTCCTTAGATGCAACATCGCAGTCGCTTAGATCCCAAACTATCAACATTTACGATTATTCACGACAAACTATCAACATTTCAATAAATTCTTCAACTCTCAGCAATTTATAGCTATTTGGCTAAGTACTATTTGGCCGTGGCGTAAGCGAGCGTGTGGTCGCAGGCCCCTGCGACACACACATTGGATCGACCACTGCGCCTGTGGCTTGCCAAGCCTTCCATCTCTCCGGGGTCGGCAAACTTGTACCAGGCCTATCTGGAAAGATAGAAGCACCGGCTGGATACATCGGTAGGCTGCCGTGTGTCGTTGTAAAGGCCTAACATTTGTCGCTTTGTTCTTTACTATTTGACCATAAGTGAAAAAATGGAGCAATATGGCGGTTATAAACGTGGTAAGTAAGAACTGTGGAGAAGTGATAACTAATATCATGTATTTCATTTAAACATAGAGCGATGATGTTTGGTATCAGCTGATGAGAACTACACAAAAAATCGTCAAAAGTGGGCAGAAATTTAGCTGAAATTTATACAATCATGTGCACATCGAGCTTGACACCCACATGAAAGACACTTTCATCAACGACTGTGCAAAAGTTTGCAGCATACAGTATACCGTGCCTACCACGTAATTTCAGTCTTGTCGCCTTTAAATCCATTTCGTGAAACATGCAACCCACAAAAAGTAACAGATTCAGAAAGTTTGGTTAACGTTTAGAAAAAAGTGTTTATCCTCATTTTAGTTCAACGAAAGTTGTCTTGACAATTGAATTATTTCTGCTTTTTCTTTCTCAAATGTTTTGTAGAAAAGCTTTCAAAAACGCTCTTAAATAGGACATTCAGAGGCCAAACGATCACAGTGAACCATTTCGCGTATTTGGTGTGGCCCGATCACACAGCGCCATTCAATCCAGCTCCAATGAGTGGCTGTATGAAGCTTTGCAGACAACTAGCTGAAAGTCACCCAATCACAGTGCACTGTTCTGCAGGTATCGGACGATCTGCGACGTTTATAGGCAAGTTGTAGTTGTATGGTAAATTTGCTCATGTAGATGAAGATAGATCAACTCACAAAAGTTAGGAAAATGGTCTCTCCAAACGTCAACGAGAGCGTGGTGAGACGTACAAGATGCTCTTACATTAGTAATTGTAACATGTCGCCTATATTTGTAATCATTGCGAATCCAGCTGACTGTACTACCGCTTCGGTTCTCAAAGTTCAATATTACTCTACTGTCCGTTCCTTTGATAACATCGAAATCCTCTGTTCTTTACTGTTGGATATGTGACAACAAAGGACGAAATTTTACCACATTAATTAAAATATTCAAATATTTGCCTGGTTTCCATTTACCTTTCTCCTTCATAGCAATCGACTACGCCTGGCAGAAGATTCGAGACAACGCCAACTGGCAAATGGTTGAAACTTTAAAGGATTTACGCAGGCAACGAATTCATGCAATACAATCGCCTATACAGTACATATTCTTACACATGTGTCTTCTCGAAATGGCTGCGGAGGTAAGTGAACCAGTGTGGCATTCAATCTCCTAAATAGTTGTGGAAATTCATGCTAAAAAATAAAGTGTAAATTTAGAACTTTTATTGTGTAGGAAACTCTGAATAAGAATGAAACATCGCCCATTTCAATTGTTCAAAACCGGTTTTTATTTAGAGTAATCTGTAGGAGGTAACTACCCTATTCTGTTTTTTCACTTCTATTTCTACATAACACAAGATTACTTGTATGACACCGTGCGGATTCGCATCTACAATCGGCGAAGGTTTTAAAACTTATTTGGTTGTTGCTTCGACTGCCGATTGGGTATTTTCATCGCCTCTATGATTGACGATGAAAGCTGATCGTATCGGTCATTTCTGTAACTCTGAGATAGTCTTGCTGGGTTATTCTCACATAGAATGCACCTGTCCCAGATCAGGGTGATACCCATTTTCCGAGCCAAGAGTGATGGTTGTGATGATGAGCATTACGCCTATCCGGGACCGAAGCAAAATGTGGTGGATTTGGAGTTCGCTACCGCTTCGCTACATGTTCCATACACTACATTCATAGTAGCAATTTGCAGAACTCTCCTCAGTTTTTACAACTCTGTAGATTCTAAAACAAATCAAAGCACGCTTCATATTAACTTTGCATTTTTTTAAAAAAAAACTGTAAGGGTCATGCATTTCCACTTATACTAGTGATATCTTCGTGACGGAGCATGTTTACTTCCTTACTTCTCAAAAACCACTAAACCAAACGATTGGCTTAGAAACACCGCTTCTCTTATCCATTTTCCTTACTACAAGCGCCAACTCTGTTGTCCAGTAGTAGCTTCTGTGCAAAATCATCTTTTTTATGTGTTGGCCCGCGTTACCACAGACGCTTCCGGAAATATGCCGATCTGAGTTTTTACACGAACCTCTATCACCTGTATCACCTGTGGTCCCATTGATCGCCATTTTTCCCTGTCTCGTGCAAGAGTAGCCCAGTAGGTTGTGCTTGCACTAGGGACTCGTCGAGCATTATATCTTTATTCTAGGCTTTTCGTGAAGAACTCTGACAATCGAGTAGGTGGACTTTCTGCAGAGCGTTTAACATCCCGAGAAATCCAGTCACTAACGGCTCTTGTCCATCGGTTATCATCCATACGCATTATGTGTCCGGCCCACCTTATTTTCGAAAGTTCGGCGTGCAGAACGGCTTTTGATTTTTGATCGTGGACACAGATCAGAGCTTCGGATTCCTTCCCCTCCTTGTGTGAAACGGGACACTCCTAGCAACGCATTTTCGACTGCGCGTTCAAAAACGCTGAGTGATCTTCCAACCTGCTTACACAGCGACCAGCTTTTTGACGCATCCGTTAGGGCAGGAAGCACCGTTGAGTCGAAGAGGTTGGCACGGAGTCGAGTGTTTTTTGTTCTCTTCACTACATCCTCGATGCTCTTGAGAGCGCCCAAGCCGCTCGTTTTCTTGTGCTCACCTCTGGAGCTAGGTCGTTCGTCATATTGATTTTCCGACATAGATAGACATAACTGGAGCATTCAGAGATATTCGCTCCATTGAGCGCGAATGGGTCATGCGAAACCAATCCGTTCCTCATGAACATCGTTTTTATGCGATTTAGTCGGAGACCAATCTTTCCACAGGCTTTATCAAAGTCGTCAAGCATACGTTCTCCTTGGTTAATGTTTGGTGTTATGGAACGATGTCATCAGCAAAGTGAAGATGGTGTAACTGCCGACCGTCATTTCTCACCTCCATATAATCCTATTCCAATGTTCGCATGACGTTTTCGAGGGTGGCGGTAAATAATTTTGGCGAGATGGTATCACCTTGCCTAGCTCCTCTTTTGACGTCAATGTTAATATCGTTCTAGAATGGTGATATCTCAGTTGTGAAGTTTTTGTACAGCTCACAGAAAATCTTTCTGTACTGAGTAGAGACTCCTTGTTTATTAAGGGATTCCATGACTGCTTCTATCTCAGTTAAGTTAAAGACCTTCTTTAAATCGATGAAAGTGAGACAGAGCGGTCCTTTGTATTCTCGCAATACATCAATGAGTCTTGTTATCGTGTGGATGTGGTCTATCGTACTAAATACTTTTCGAAAATCTGCTTGCTTACATGGCTTTCCTTTGTCCAGTGTTCTGTGAATCCTGTTTAGGATGACTCGAGTGAAAAATTTGTAGACGACAAACAGTAAGCAGATTGGGTGGTAGTTGCCGATATCGTTTAGGTCACCCTTCTTGAACAATAACGCGGTCATGCTGGTCTTCCGATGAGTAGGAACCTTGCATTCAGAAAGGTGACGTGTGAAAAGAGCCGAACCAGTGTGTTTACGAAGGCTCGCGGAAGGTTCCTCAGGCGTTCTGGCGTTATCCTATCCGGACCTGGTGCTGTTCCATTTTCCACCGATGAAGGGGCATGTCGGATTTCCGAAGGGAGAACCGATATTATAACATAACCGTCCGCCTTTTTTTCATACGACGGAAGGTGGACGTGGCTATCAAGGAGATCCGAGTAGTATTCGTAAATGGTTTTCTTTTGCTTTTCTGGACGCTATAACTGTTCCGTCTGGGCGCCGGAGTGCAATCATTTTGATCTTGCAATTGGCGAAGCTTCGGTGAGCTTTGCGAATGCTTTTCACAACCTCTGCAACTACGGCCATTACTGTTGCTTTTCTCTTTCTAAGATCCTTTTTTATCACCTCTCTTCATTGTTTTGCAGGTTCGGACGTTAGTTCGCGGTTGCCTGCAGCTCGTGCGATTCCACGCTGGTGTACCAGCTCGAGTGTTTCTGGAAACAGACGTCTCTTGGTGACTTTCGAACTTCGAGCTTTCGTAGCGCTAGCATGAAGACGTTGAGTGAGCCAATCGTATTCATTGTCGATGTTATCGATAACGGCAACTTGCCAAAAGGCGACTGATGAATTGAATAAGTCCCAATTTGTGGTGTTTCTGGGATTTCGGTTTTTAAATTTAGCTGCTTTTTCGCCTTTCTGCCAGAAATAGAATCTTGCACAAAGAAGACGATGGTCTGATCCCGTGGGGAATTTTGAGACAACAGCGTCATCGGTTAGACAAAACCTTCTATTTACTAATGATGTTATCTAATTCGTTATGGTACTCTCTATTGGGAGACTCCCACGTTCACCGTTGATGGTGGAGCTTCTGGAATTGCGGGTCACCGTTAATGGTCTTGTTCACCATGATAAACTCAAATAGCCGGTCACCTTGTTCGTTCTTTTCTAATCTGTGGGCCCCGATGTGACGTTCTTCAGACGTTCTTCTTGGTCCAATGTTGGCGCTAAAATCTGCAATGGTGACCTCGAAGAAAGTGTGGTCTTCTCTGTAGAACTTCTCCAAGTCCATATAGAGCGCTTCGACTTCTTCTTCGTCATACTTTGATGTCGGCACGTAAACGACGAAGATTGTCAAAGCCGGTATTGATCCACGTCTTTTTAATCGTAAAGGTCCGATTCGTGTTGTAAGTTGTTCGAATGAAACGTTGTTTATGGACAAACTCGTGTTGACGAGAACGCCGACGCCGCCGATTCCTCTACTGTCGCATGTTCCGAGTAACAGTTCTTCTCCGGTGTCGTAGACGGCGTTGAATGGGTGGCGTGGTCTCGTTTCAGCCAGGCCGTTGACGTCGTACCTTATCCGTCTTGTCTGCATGACCAAGTTCTCTGTCGAGGACTCGGATGCAAGTGTAGATGCATTGTAGGTACAGATCGTCACCATAGTTCTTCGTGATCCAGGCGGCTTCCATTGGTTCTGAGATCTGAGCACCTCTCTGTATTCGTCCTACCCGACGCTGCGAAATTAAGGGCTCTTTCAGGTTTAGAGGAGTAAGGCCCGTTTCTTTTACTGTTTTTAGCTTTTTAATACCCACGTACAGCTTGCTGGGCTCTGAACGTGAGTGCTATTTTTACTCACGGGTAGCTTCCCAAGCCCTCCCAGAGTGGACATGTAGCATATTTGTTGGAGGGGACTCCTAGCCGTCTCCGATATACTTCGCTGTTACTTGATTGCAGACTTTTGGCCGAATTGACTCATAGAATACAATTCGCATAAGCAAGAACCCACCCACACACTCGTGCATGAATACGCCTAGCAAATACAGAGAGTATGTCCCAAATTGGCTCAGCAGAAACAGGGAGTCGATGCCCTAGATCCATCCATCTGCTTCAAAGGTCGCTTTTGGTCTGCGATTAAACCCCAATCCGCCACCTGGGGACGCGCCACGTAGGCTCGCGACTAACCGGCTATAGGGATCCCTCATATGGGGGAGATCAGTGGCTTACACGAGCGGTCTTCTTAAAATCACAGTTGAACTTGTAGGTTCTAAAACTATCTATCTTTGCTTTACAATGGCTGTTTCTAGTGTAAACGTATTTTAATCTTCTACACTTCCATTTACGGTCAGCAGAGAGGAATGCTGCAGTTGTTTTTCACTTAGGTTCCTCTCTTTATCTTTGGTAAACCAATTCTGACTACATTAGCAATGCCTCAACATTTCACATCTTAACTTGCTTAGACTTGGAACTTAATAGATGTCGCATTTCGATGCACGTAATAAATATCTTGTTTATTCCTTGACCCCTGTCGATTCCAAACTTTCCACTTTTAACTCTTTTATTTACTGCCTTTTTCTTCTTAATGGCAGGTTATGTTGCGAAATATAACTCGTATGATGGTTTTGGGTCCGGAGTTTGGTCCGGAGTTTTGCAAATATCTCAGCATTTCATACGAGTTATATTTCCACTTTTAGTTGTTTAGCAACAATTGTTTCTAGTAAACATTTGTTACCTTCT